AACGAAAGAACATTGGACAGAGGATGCTATTTATCGAACTACCAATGAGGCTCAGTGAACATTTATATCTGTACAGTATTGAAGAGATCTATAAAAGGTTGCCAGGTTGAATGGAATTCCTCCAACCTCCCCTTTAGTAGGAGTTTAATTCTTTCCAGCTGCAAGTGTCTCAATACATCTTGTGTTAACGCTGATGTGGTAGGAGGCACCTTTTGTTTCCCATTTAGTAGAATCAAACGGCGTGCCAGCAGGGTCACAAAACGTTATTTTGGGTGGCTGATAGGTCTACAACAACCGGCTTCACTCCAAAAAAAGCACTTTAAACTGTAAGAGTCCATGACGAATGCAAACAGAGGAAGAGTGTACATTTTCCTGGGCTTTTGTCCATTGATTGTCTGGAATTCTCGTACCAAGGTCACACTGCCAGGCCTCTCTCAGATAGTCAAGTGTGATAATTCCATCCAGTTGTGACAATGCGTTGTGAATTTTTGTTATTAGTCCTTTCTTGAGTGGATCAAACTGAAATAAGTTATCTAAGGCAGAGTCTGGTGGCCGATCTGGAAAAGATGGAAAAAGCCTCCCTACAAAGCTTCTGATCTGTAAGTATTTGAAAAAGTCATTACTGTGCAAGTCAAATTTTTCTTGCAGTTGCCGGAATGTGGGAAAAACCTTGTTGATGAATAAATCCTTTACTGAGTGCAGTCCCTTGTGGTTCCATTAGAGAAATGAAATATTTGAAAGTGAGTGAACTAGAGTCTGAATCTTGGGATTTTTGTGCCTGGATCCATATTGCTGGGAGACCACACCGTCCCCTTGAGGGACCCCGGTGTGTATACCATAATGTCGAACATGCAGTCACTCAAATGTTCCCTGCCGGTTTGTAGAAGTATTCATGATTCACGTAATTTCTCATAATAATGATGATTTTCACTCCGCTGCATCTCTTCCTGTGTAGAAGTATCCTAACAATACATTTCTTGTATGAATATGAAAATGGTATTTGTTTAAAAGTTATAATTTAGCCTTTGCAGTAAAACTGTTGTAAAGTCTACTTCTTTACATCATGAAAAGGATGAATGAGTAAGAAACCCACCCAGGACATTTAGTGTTGGCTTCTCACTGTGAAAGTAATTGCATTTGAGATCAGGTATGCTTGTGACATTTCAGTAAAAGCATAGAAACGTAACTCGTTCACCACTCTTGATGACTGGTCTTCAAGTTTTTCACAGTTGGCAGAAGCTGCAAAGTTTCTGAGATCTGGTTGCTCATGTTTTCTTCTTAGTTTGAACTAAACTTGTGCAGTAAGCAAAATATATTAAATCTTTGAAGTGTGGTCAGTCTGCAGCAGGTGGACAGGAAGTAAACTGCAACTTCCCTTGAACATTCTTGTACTAAAATTGCTTGGTTTTTAAAAAACTAACATTAGACAGTTAACTCAAGTATTATGATGAGTTAGTAGCTTCTGTCTCCACATAACCAGCATCAGGGTGCAGAATCATTATAAATGTCCTTTCCGTTACAGTACATGCGCATTAAACATCAATAACCTCCCAGTGAATTATAATGTCTTGCCTTTTTAAATTGCATTTCAGCAGTTTCCTTTTGTAGTTCTTACACATTTTGTATATACAGCAACAGCCAAATAACCACATTACTATGTAACTATGCAATAAACGATAGCAAATATTTCTAAATTAAGCTCCCATGCTTCCCTGAATGTGATCAAGAGAATTGATAATTTCAGAATTGTTTAATATTAAACTGCCACTGTTCATCTGCAGAAATGATGCTTAGAAAAAAGGTGATTGATAATTGTGACAAGCGTTAGACTAACGCTGCACGCAAAGGAGGGAGGCACTAACGTCACTTAAGACCAACCTGATATTTACCAAACCCACATCAACGCTTAAGCTGGGCTGACTACCAAGGCTTTAAGTGGTAAGTACAATATTTTATTTAACAATAATTTTTTTAGGTTTGGATTTTTAGGCAGAGCAAGACCTTTCTAGGCCTAGTGTTTGGATTTGGAGAGCTGATCTTTAAAACTGAATAGGGAAAAATATAATGGGAGCTAATAAGGCTTTAGTTTCAGTTATCGCATCTTAAATATTACAGAAAAAGGTTCTCGTAATGCCTCCATCACAAGCGGCATGAACGTGGCATTTAAAGTGTGGATTTTTTTTTTTTAATCATATGTATCACCCTAAGTTATACTTCACTAAAGCTATTCTGTACTTGTTTTTCTGGATAAATGATTATTGTTAAAAATATCTAAAACGGCTAATCTGTCTTTGTGTAATGCTTTTAAAAAACTTTTTTTTTCTTTACTGAAGCCACAAACTAGATTGGATTTTCTTTAGTAACCTTTTTTCCACTCCGTGTACATGCATATCACTCAACAGACAATTATTCTAAAGCTAATTGATTAATAAACATAAAGCTTTATTTAATTCCTTCTAAAAAATGTATGTAAATCTTTTTTTTAAAAGTCTTGTTTCTACACATTTATATTTTATTGCTTACTGTAGTTAGAATATTGTGTAAAAATGTATGGGATCACTCAAACGAGGAGTTATTAACATTTTCAGTATTTTGTGTCATATCAAAGTATGAGTCGATTGAGGAAAAGTACTGGGGTACACAAAGTTAGTTGCACCAATGATACATTTTGAAAGAAAATCTCAACCAGATTTCTGCTTCTTGAGTATTAAAAGCACTTCTTAGTTAGGTCCTGTCAGTGCTGTTTTACAAAAATTAAAATTCATTCTCCAATAGTTTGGCAGCAAACGACTCCTCTGCCCATGAGTCTACCTAAATCTAAAGCTTCAGCACTACTGACTTTATTTTCTAGGAAACACACTGGACATCACAAACTGTGCAGAGCAGGTTTTCAGGCCGTGCTTTCTCTAAACAAAATTTCAGTATGACGTGCAACAGCTGCAGGTGTTCGTCCTCACAGGTTCCAGCATGCTACTGAATAAAGGTGAGACTTCACTAGTGTGTCAACTGCACTGCTCTCTAAACTTCCTCTTCCCCTGCAGCTGAGCTAAAAGCAGACTGTCATCACAATTTGCTTAATTATTCATTCCTTTTATTTTAAAAGAGCCAGCTGCAGTTTTTCTTCTGATGGCAAAGATTTGAAAGCGACAAAGAATGCAAGCCATAGTGAAAACTTTAACAAAGACTGGAAATGAACCAAGTTTAATATTAAGAAATGTCAATAAACATGACAAGCGTTCGTCTAACACTGCATAAAAAGGAGGGAAGCGTTGGCGTCAGTTAAGACCAAACATATTTATTAAACCCCCATCAACACTTATTGATAAAGCTGGGCTGAATACCAAGGCTTTAAGTACAATATTGTAATGGTTTCCAGTTTTTTCTTTTGTTTTTAATTTATTTGAAGATCCGAGGAGTGTAAAATGAATAATAAACCCAAAAAGTACGTTTTTATTTGCCAGAAAAACAAATGGTCAAAGTAAAGCTTGAACACTTGCAAATGTAGCATATTCAAATATGCTGTGCGAAAGTGTTTATGACGGCTCTTAATATTTTAAATATGCAAAACCTCCAATCTAATACAAAAGCTGCTCTGTGCTCTTTTGCAGATGGTCCTGGTGCTAAATAACATGGGCATAGCCACAGTGTTCATACTGACCTGTATGTGCGTCGTGCCACTGCAAGGTCAGAAGCCAGGTCAGGTGGACCCCCTGAAGGCCCATCGGGGCAATCCGCAATGCTGGGAGGCGTCCTCTGCTCTGCTGCTGGAGATGCGCTCTCCGAGGATTGCTGACACAGTGCCTGCCTTCTGGGACCTCATGGAGTCACTCAGGGCTTCAAACAACAGCAAACACACTGCACTGTTCTGGGACCTGGCCCAAGTCTTCTGGGACATCTATCTAAATTGCATTGTGTCCAGGAGTCATGGGCTGGGCCGTCGACACATAACTGCTGTCCAGTCCCTCATTACTGACAGTGAGTACTCAACCACACACTTCTCCTTGCAAAGACAAATAAGTAGGATCATTTAGTTTCTTTACAATAAAAGAAAAATTAATATTAAATTGTATTTATACTGGAGAATTTAAGATTAAAGTCCACGACTCACCTGCAGTTATCAAATGTAGTTTTTCATTCCTTAAAATGCTCCTCGTGCATTTATAATTGATTAGGTGTGGCTGTGCACCTTTCCTTCATTCAGTAAATGTCGACGTATGAATTCTGTCAAACCTCTTCTCCCCTGCATCAGTGAGACTTGCTTACATGTTCTCTTAATAGATGATGGGGGAGACAACTGTGGTACAGACAACCAGAGCTTTGTTGTTGAGCAGGAGAAAACCACACAGGTAATCGGAAGCTTCACAGTGGGGATGCTGACTGTAATAACATCCACAGCGTCTGGAACCTGTTGGATAGCAGCTCTGCTGTGTTGAAGTCTGTTTCACTGTGACTCTTCCTTCACACGAGGTGTCTTTTTCTACTTAAAGTTGTCATACACCGACAGCACAGGGTGAAACTTAAAGGGAGAAATGAACATTAGATTTTTACCCTGGAAAGAGCTGAGTAAGTGTCCTCTCACAGAGAACAGGTCACTAACAATGAGGTGGTGGTGGTGCCAGCTGGGATGGCAAGAAACCTGGGAATCATCCTGGGGGGAAGTGGCTTGGGTAGGGTTGCCAACTCCCTGAAAAATAAATAAGGGACACCTCATGGCCAGGGCTGGGCAACCGGATTGTCTTCACCCTTCCCAGTGTGGGGAATTTTGTAGCTCTTGTTTTTGTGTGTGAAATTATTATTTTAACCATTTGACAAAGTGCGTCCCTTTTTCAGCTCAATACTTTTGTTTCTAAATATGGAAAAATCCAGTTTTTCAAGGGACGGTTAGCAACCCTAGTCTTGGGACATAACAATCGTTGCTAATCCCGATTAATTTCTCCTTTATAAAAATCAACTGGATTTATCCTTTCCTAACCATCTGGGCATCTTTATACCTTGTTGCAGCTCCTGCATCTGACTGTTGCTGGGATTCAACCTTTGCAAAGCTTTACACACCCATTCCCTACTCGGTTCACTACAACGGCTCCCTGTGGCTGCCTGGTCTCTGCTTTCCTCTCTTTTTAGCTTTCTGGTCAGTCACAGGACCCCATTATCACTCTTCTCACTGCAGGCTTTTCTCTGTTGTTTCATTTTAGCTGTTTAGTGAAGCGTCAAATGTGGAGCCAAAGTGCCATAGTTACTGCATCTCTTGCACTGAAAGCTTTAAACCAATGCTTTTTGACTTAAATGTCTATTTTTTTTAATGCAATTGACTTTTGATACAAGCATCTACTGCCCCATGAATTTTGTAACATGCTTAGCATTTTTTCTGTCTTTTTTTCCCCCTTCCTTCAGAATCCTTCAGATTCAACCGCTCAGGAGCAAAGTCCCACGCGTGGCTCCATGTGAGAGTGAGACGTAGAGGGCAAATCAAGACCCTGAAGACAGACCCAAAATAAAATGCACAACTACTAGAAAAGATTAAGGATAATTCAAAGTAGATAGCTTTTTATAAACATTCTTTCCCAGAAGAAAAACTCGATTTTTCTTAAAGTGAGTTTTACTTATAGGATCTGGTTTATGTAAACATGAATGGAGGTGAGACCTCGTTACTTTTAGGACACTGAGCTTTGTTATCCAACACTTCAAAGCGAAAAAAATTTGGCAACATAAAATTTTACCCCACACCCTTTTAATGACTACAGCTTGTTTTTATCAATCTCAAATCATGCCGCTATGATTATGCAGTTTTAATTTTTAATTATTATTAAAATTATTATTTTGAATTAAGATTTGAATCTTGTCTGATGTACTGTTCATATCAAGAGTTGTGATTTTGTTATAATGTTTGGGCTGTCTTTTCATCAGAATAGTAGTGCCCGATTCATTTTAGGCAGAAATGTTTTTTCACTGCTGTGAGCTGTAATTCCCTGAATGTCAAAATAAATCAGTCAGCAAATAAAACCTGGCTGTCAGACTCTAACTTCACAAGAAATGCGATTTGATCTACATTTAAGCAGAATTTCCTCCAAACTCAAACTGCTCACTAATTTGATCTGAGGTTTTTCTGCCAGGTGAAATGGAGG